TGGGTATGACATTAAACTCCATCGAGTCGTCGGCTCCTGACGTATGTCTTAGTGACTGCTGTTTGTTTTTAGAATGTAATCTTGTTTTTCATGTAATTTTTCGTGATTATGACTATTCTGGATAAAGAATGTTTGAGCAGAGGTGGATTCAAGCCCCCCCCCCCTTCATTTTTTTAAGGAAAAAAAAGAAAAATATATTCAAATTGAAGTGCGAGAGTGTAATTTCCGGCCATCTAGAGATGCCCTAATCATAAATTTTCTTACCTCACCCCCAACCATGGTGGGGCTGAGGTAGGTGGTTCCTCGGTCTGTGAAAGTCCCTCCCTGGTTCACCTCTCTTTCGAATTCTTGGATCTGCAACTGTTGATTTATTATATAATTATGTTTGCGCTTATTTATAATGCGTCTATTGCAATTTTCACATTATCCTCTCAAACAATCCTAAGAACGTTCGGAGTGCGCTTCACAGAGGGATTCGCCCCCCCCCCCATTGACCACGCCGGGGTCATACATAATTCGCATAACGGCTCCCCCCCTTTCAAAATCCTGGCTACGTCCCTGATTCATATCAGGAGTAAGACATACTCCCTTTGTTTTGTTTCAGTAAGATATAACATACTAGCATCACAAAATTCAGATAGATATTTAGCACAGCCACGAATCTCATCAATCTTGTTTGATACTGACCTTACATTACTGAGCGTGATGACTGGTAGTGGCAGTCGATTTTGATTTCTTCTTAGACGATGTTTTATACTCCACGTCGACCTCGCCTCCTGCGAGAGGCTACTTCCTTCCTACTGGGAACCCAATCTGGGATGTTAAGTCCCGAGTAGCTTTTCGTCCTGAGACCCATGTACGTGGGACGCTGACCGGACACCAAGCGCATCACGAAACAAAGCATCACCGTCGTAGCTAAATCGATTAGCAGATTTCGTGACAATAAAAATTGTCAACCAGTAGTTTAAAAATACATCCATACTACAGGAACAACAGATCAAACATACTTGAAAATAAAATACGATGAAAATTCACTAACAATAACTTTAAAAACTTAACTATTAAAGGAAATGAAATCCACGTCATTTGCACAGGCAATCTTTTTAGGGATTCTTGATACGATTCCATCCCTGGGTCCCCGAAATCAAGGGACTCAGGGACATAATGTGGTGAGAAAAATGCCTCTCTCACTACTACCACTACTGTCTGTGCCTAGGCAAAGTCTAGGCTCCAGGAGGCATACTCTTTTAAGCCTAGATAGGTTAGACCCAATACTAGGAGGAACGATTGGAAGGAAAAGGATGCCGATTGCGTAGCTTTTTACATCTAGCCAATTCAAAAAGGTAATAATCACTTTATTACAATAGCTTTGCAGTTTTAGTATTATCTGTTTTGAAGGATAAATGTGAATTCATTTATATATAATTTAGTTCTATTTTACATGCGTCATGATTATGCCAAGTAGCCATGGTTATATGGAAATTTGGCTAGGACATGGTTGGACAAGCTATTTATAATAAACAATAATATATAATTTTATAAAGTCAAAATTGTAACATTTATAAAATGCCTATTAATTCTGTTATGATTTTTATACAGGTTTATCACATATTGTAATCTTTAAAAAGGTACAGAAATGCCGTAAGAGAAATGATATATTGTTGGTTAAAGTTTATTTATTTAGTCTACTTTTATCATTTCTCTCCACAACCCTTTAAACCATCTATTTTGATAAGCAACTTTTTGTAAGAGTCACGGTGGTACTTTTGACTTTTATTTTATCATTTTTGAAAATTATATTTGTTGCTTTTGTTTGATTTACTCAGCTTATGATTTTTATTGGCCTGGTTTTATGCTTGCTTTTTGTTTGTCAAACTGTTAGTTTGGATGCACCACTGTGTGTGTGCTACCAATCTTAAGGTGTTATTCCTAATACATTTATTGATTGATTGATTGAGTGAAATAATATGTTATGAATTTATTTGTAAATTTGGTTTATATCTACTGTTGAATTAACAAAACAATTTACATTCTTTATATTATGACAGATGTTTCAATTGTATCTGTGGAAGGTAGAGCTGTGTCCGGTATGGTGATACACTGAATTGTCCAGCAGGGGTGCTTAAACCGCTGATCGCCAACTGACTTTCATCACTCAACAGAGGACATCTTCTACAAATTAGAAAAAAAAAATCATCATTATCATTATTATTATTATTATTGTTCTTAAATATTATTCATCGTTGATATTAATGATGTTGTACTTAAAGCTAAATGAGTATACAATGCTTCATCGCCAATATTCTGCTTATTGAAGCTGGTCCTTATGCGAATTATTAGCTGTTCAGATTCCTCCATTCAATGCAACCTTGTTTCTTCCCTTTTATGAGAGATAGCCACCCAATGAATATCCTCAAATAATCCCTTTCTTCTTCTACCCATCAATCCATTCCCTTCTAATTCCACATCCTTCAGCAGATTTGTCAACCTTTACAAGTATTCTGTTTAAGAATTAGTTTTAGATAAGCCATATATATATATAGGAGCTTAGAAGTATGCATAGGGGGAAACTAAAACAATATATATATATTTATATATATATAAATAAAACAGGAAAATCAGAGTTGCTGCATGGGTATGTATGGGAATTACTCATAAAAACAGTTTCAAATACAGTAATATCTTTCCTGTATTCTTTTGCATAGACCATTATATTGACCGGTAATTAACAAAGTAAAATGTCTGTAATTCAGTGATTGTTTTTTTCACAGAAGCTGTTAAAATGTGTCATAATGTATAATATACATAAGACACATTTTAACCGCTTCTGTGAAAAAAAATGATAAGTTATTGAAAGATTAACAAATAAAGTTTGAAATATGGAATTACTATGGTTTGCATCATTTTTTAGAGTTTGTTTCATACCATGATACTACTCAGTGTTTATCCAAATACATTACAGTACATTGTTTCCAAAACTTACTGAGCAAGTTTAAAACCTAAGAATATTTTATAATTATGTTAACTACAAATACATATAAATGTAGTGTTAAAACACACTTTTTAAGCAAATATAATATATATAGTGCTGTTTCTATGCCCTCAATACATTAAACACGGCGAGAAAGCTTGACCTTCAACGAATTGGTGTGTGATTACGGGGCCTTTTCAAATCGAAAACTCCCTAATTTGTTTGCTGGCCACGTTTGATAGTTGCACATGCACAATGATTTCATGAGACCCATGATCGATAACGTCATTTAAAAGTGCGCATGCTTACTGTTTTTTTAGCATTCCCAGCGCATGTTTTACGTGGACTCTTTGGAGACGTTCTTTGGTAACTGCGCCTGCACAATAATTAGTTTGGAATTGTCATTTTTTTCATAATATGCTACCACTACCTATAGTTTCCTAATGGCTGCTGCTTCTTGCTTGTTGCAGCCTAAAGGTGCGGCGCGAAAATTTCTGTCAAACAATTCGCAGTATAACGTTAATAAACGTAAGCGTATTTGTTGGCGTGCATTCCTGGTTCCACTGAATAATACGTTCTGATTGTTGAAGTTTTAAGTTTGATTGACACATTGAAAAGAAAAGTCCATTGTCTCAATAATTATAGAATAAAACCATTTTTTTTATAGAAATGCTTGTCATACACGGAAACAAGTGCATTAAAGAGTGGATTCGAGGAACAAAAGAGCATAGCTATAGAAACATTCGAGAAGAAAGGGAAGCAAGTTGGCCCATCTTATTCAAGACGCATCGAACAATTGGAAGATGATATTCCCGAGAAATACTCGGTTTTTGAATCTAAAATTAGTGATTTCAAGGTGAGCGAACACACATAAATTTTAAAATGACGAAAAATGTAAAAAAGATAAAGGTAGAAAATAATACGTGGCTTCCAACTCATTCAGCAAATTTCTTCTACCCTAAGGGCCACATGTCCAATCAGCTGCCTAGAGAAGCACATTTGTTTGCCCACAATGACAGGGACTGAATGTTACAATACAATGGGATAACCCTACTTTTTTCGAATGATGTACTGGGTTCTTTAAGTACACAGGAGCAAATTTGTGTACACTTGGCCTACGGTTTGGAGTCCTTATCCATCCCAACCAGCTGCTGATTGTGGTGCCGCTGCCTCTCGGTCATTCGACTCGCTTTGATGATGACGACACTTATGATGATGATGATGATGAGGAAGAGGAGGATGATAATGATGATGGTGAATAATTGACATTTGTAGCACCATTGCATCTGAAGATGCTATTAAAATGTTTTCATTGAAGATTTTATTTGAAAGTGGTGCAAATTTGAGATAATCCGGTAGTTTTTTCTACAGCATTTTCCAAAGGATTCTGTGTGTCCTTGCTTCAGCAGATTTTTTTTTGTTAGAGCGCATGAAGTCCCGGTGTGATTTGTATGACGTAGGCAAATTTATTATATTTATTATTTTTTAATGGTTTGTTCTGCCCTTTGTTTAAGTTTGTAGTTAATTATTCGGGTTGTGTTTAGAACTACTCTGAGCTAGTTTCCTAAGACACTTCCATTTTATATAATAATGTGTTCAACATAATATCGTGTTGCAAGAATTTGTACGTCATACCGTACTTATAGCATTAGCGCATATAGTTTATGATCTACGACGAGGAAGGACCCAGTCAAGGACTTTTAGGCCTACAGATATGAAATATATATATATATATATATATATATATATATAATTTCATATCTGTTCAATTTTTTGTGAAACAGTGCTCAATCCCACTGAAAAATCTATCTCTTATACACATCTAGATGTGTATAAGAGACAGATTATGCACTTGTCAATTGTAGTCCAAACTTCCATGGAAACTGCTAAGTGATACGCACGCGTAGTGCTTCCATCAAGGAACCTCATCTCCTTGGCCTAGCTCTCACGTTGCTTCTCCGATTCAGACCTACTGTAGGCTAAACCTTCAAGTAGGTTTTATCCTCCAATCATTTATTAGCGAGGCATTTTCCCAGGACTACGGCGGTGTGGCGGGGACTTAGCCGGGGATGTACATTAAAACGATGCTCCGCATTGCTAGGAGGTGGCCGGGACTCTCACATGCATGTAACCATTTTGGAAATTACATCCCCTGCTAAGTCCCCGCAAGGCCCAAAATGAGGATAAAAATAGGCCAGCAAAAACTTGCCAACTTTCAATCCTCCGTGTTTTTACAAATACTCAAGTTTATGAAGTCATTAACACATTGTACCCTTACAAATCTACAACAACTTTGCTACTATTAGATAGTAAAGAGGCCCACATTTGGCAAAGAGTAGAAAGAGGAGTCGCATGTGGATTATATATTATTGCCTATTAATATTTTACAAAAAATTTGTTTTACGATTGGCAAATTTTCCTCGGGTACAACGTACATAAATGTACATACTGTCTCTTATACACATCTAGATGTGTATAAGAGACAGTATATATATAGCGTATGTGTATGTATGTTTATTTCCTCCACGGTAATATACTATTATTTATTAAACATTACTACATAATTTTAGAACAAATTACCGTATTGTATGTATATTGTGTCTTCATTCATCATTCTTGTCATATGCTCTTAGTCTTGCTTACGACCTAGCCCTTGATCCCTCTAACACACCTACTGACATTAAGGCAGCTCTTAATATTTAGGTTTACTTTATTGTACTTGACTAAGAAGATTGCCATCTTTTTGTTATTTTATAGTTGTTATTTTGTGATTGTAAATTTCTGATTGTACGCGGATGATTGATTACCTTCGATGGCTCAAGTAGCAATAAAATTATTGAATTAAATTGTACAAGTGAATTGAAAATAGTGTATAACAACTCTAGTTCTTATATTACATGTGTTATTAATTTTATTTTATTATTATTACAGAATGAAGCATATAGGTTAGCATCTAAGACGTACCGATATTTGATGGACCAGGTAATGTATTCTAGGTATATGTATTATAATAGTTTTGAACCAAAGTCATATTTTCTGATACGTTATTGCCTTGTAAAATTAGGCAACGTAACCAGCTGATATTGTGATAATCTCTAATTGAAAGTGACAAACAAGGAAACTGCTGCTAACTGTCACTAAAAAATCTTAACAAACAAAATATATTACAAGAAAGAAGACCATGAGACAGAAATAAATGTTGTATACTGTATACATAGAATAAATTATGTGATAATCTTCTGTTGACAAAAACAGACGTTTGGGGTTTAAATTGTAAGGTCGGAGTTTCGAGTCTCCGCTGTGTCCTTGGGCAAGGCACTTTAGCTACATTGCTTCAGTCCACCCAACTGTGTCAATGGGTACCAGCAAACTGCTGGGGACTAACCTGCGATGGACTAGTGTCCCGCCCAGAGGGAGGGGGGAGGAACAACTCTCATCCGCTTCACTCTACAGAAAATTGGAATAAGCTCCAGCCCTATGAGCCCCAGTGGATCGGAAAGGATGTAAAGGAGACAAAGCCAACTCAGAAGATATCGAGAACATTTTGAATTTTTTATTCGCATGGGAATGCGTGTGAATATGTATCGAGTTCCCATTTGCGCACTGTATTATTATTTATATTGTCTTTATTGTGCTTCCGGTGCTACGGAGCATTCCTAATTTGAATAAATATTATGTACAGTACTATGATTTCCAAGCTGCGACCTATAAGCTTATCTATAGCTCCACTATATAGCGTTTAAGTCAGTTGTATTATAGGAAGTGCTTGGGGTTAGATCTGCAATTACTGTATACCTTAGGTCTCCGTGGTATAATAGGTTTGACCCAAGCCTCGATAGTGAGAATTTGCAGGTTCGAATCTCACCAGAGACGTTTCGTATTGTGCTTGATAGGATAGGATTATAAAATCTCCTACTTATTAGAATACTGTTATTATATATACTTTTTCTTTTTATATATAATGTAATATATATATATTATTATATTATATAACATATTATGTTATATAATATAATAATATTATTCAATGAATGAAGATATATATATATATATATTATATATATTATATATTATATATATTACACATATATTACATATATTTTTCATTATCTTTTTTATTGTCTGTACTAAATATAACATCTTATTACCAGTAAATTCATTTAGGCATCAGCACTGCACTGATTGTATTTTCTGCGGACAGTATGTAGATGTGTATAAGAGACAGTATATATGGATGGTGAGAGAGACATGTGGTTTTCTTTAACGTCAGATAAAATGTGCAAACAAATTCTAATATGTTCATGTAAACACTGTTTGGTAGATATATGAAGAGTACCAGAAACCGGAGGATCTTATGAAAAACCACATGAAAGCAAGACAAAAAGCATTAGAGGAATACAGCAGAAACGCAGATGAAATGACAGAAAAGGAGGCACGAAATTTTGAAGAAGAAATGAAGTTGAAGAGAATGGAATGCAACAAATTAAATGAACAGAGAAATGTAAATACACAATTAATTGATAATAATGACAATAATAATAGCAAATACAAATAATAAATACGAAATATAAAATGAAAAATAATTAATTTGTATATAACAGCATACAACCAACAGTTTTTTTTATAAAAAAATTCCTCAAACTTGGTCACAATGTTCAATAACTAACAATCTAAAGACGATAAAATTGGAGGTGATTAAACTTTGTTGGGTCAAAGGTCAAGGTCACAATCGACAAAATAATTTTTTAATATATTACAGACTATAGTGCACAGTTTTCATCAGAAACTCAGCCACAATATTCCATTAGGATCTGGAAGTGGAATTTTGAAGGACTAGGGTCGAAGCTCAAGGGCACAATGAACGAAAAATCATTTATTTTAACTGTTTGCCGTATAGACATGTGTGTGTGTGTGTGTGTGTGTGTGTGCTTACGTAGTTTGCAAAAGAAGTGTAACAAAGTAGCATTCATTTTACAGCGATTCATGTGAAAACAGTTTGGTGTGGTGACTAGAAGAGTGTTTTCCAAACTACAGACCCCGGGTTCGAATCCCATGATGTCTATTTTTTTCCTTATCTTTTGTTTCATTTTACGGTTATTGAAATATCTTGTGTAAACAACTTCGGCCCTTAATGGAATAATAATATAATGTACTATGTTTAATGTACTCACCATAAATATTTCATCCGTCTCCCGGATCTCTTCAGTATAAGCAGTGTTGTTGTGTAGTGTTTGTCCTGAGCTGGTTCATTCTGGTCGTAGGGTGGGCGCCATCTGTTGTTGGGTGTCATATGTCATGGTAATTTATGCATGAAACTGAAACACACATAGGACAAAAAAACGAAAACAAAACGGGAAAAGAAAAAAATGAAAAATACACCACACATCTCTGTGTGTGTGTGTGTGTGTGTGTGGGTGTGTGCGTGTGTGTGTGTGTGTGTGAACAGCCTGTAGTCCACAGTTTTTATCGGAAACTCTTCAAACTTGGACACAATGTTCCTTGACCAAAGATCTGAAGGACATAAAATTTTGATGGGTCAGGGTTAAAGTTCAAGGTCTCAATCGACAAAAAAATACTTTTTATATAACAGCCTACAGCCAACAATTTTAATCAGAAATGCAATATACCTGTCATTCATGGCAAAATATCGAAAAGTGACTAAATTTCGAAGTGTCAGCGTCAAAGGTCAAGGCCACAATCAACGGAAACCTTCATTTTTATATAACAGCATAGATCCAACAATATTTATCAGAATTCGTAAAACTTAGTCATAATTTTCCATGACCAACATTTTAAAGATGATTAAATTTGAAAGGGTCCAGGTTAAAGGTTAAGGTCACTATCGACAAAAAAACAATTTCATTTATATAACAGCCTACAGTCTACAGATTTCATAAGAAACTCGGCACAATATTCCATGACAAAGATCTGGAAGTGACTAAATTATGAAGGGTCAGGGTCAAAGCTCTGAGGCACAATGAACGAAAAACTATTGTATCTGTCTACCTTATGGACGTGTGTTTGTATGCTTACGGGGTTTTTCCGAAGAAGTGTAACAAAACGTACATACCAGGCATTCATTTTACAAGCGAAAACAGTTTGGTCGATGAATGGGTAGGAAAGTTTTTTCCACACTATGAATAGCGGGTTCGGATCCCAAGACATTTTTTTTTTAATTTTGGTTTTTCATTTTTTTTTTTCATTATCTTTTTTATTGTCTGTACTAAATATAACATCTTATTACCAGTAAATTCATTTAGGCATCAGCACTGCACTGATTGTATTTTCTGCGGACAGTATGTGTGGGAAATTTATATAGATGAGAATTATGATGTTGGCGGAGGTCTGCACTGTCAGAGTGCATTTTAGTTATTATAATTATTATTATTATTATTCTTTTAATTACAGAACGTGTTAGGTATAACCCAATAAAGAAACTATTACATTTTCGTGACTGTTCGGAGTAGGGTGTGAATGTGAGGACCATTTAAATGGATTTTAGAAGAAAAAAAAACGTCCTTGACAAGATATTTCAAAAACATGCTTAAATTTTGGTGACCATCCGGAATAGGGTGTGGATATGAGGACCATTTAAATAAAAACGTCCCAGACCAGATATTTCAGAAACTATTCAACTGATATGAATAAAACTTTCGTGAAAGCATAACCAAGGTACAAGGAAGAAATTATAAAGTGTAGGTGACGATCCAAATTCGGCTCTCAGACCTAAATATCTCGAAATGGATCAATGGATATAAATGAAAATTGGCAGAATAGCTTGTCATGCTTTGAAAAAGAAGTGTGTCAATTTTGGTCACAATTCAAAGTAGGGTGTAGATATGAGGACCATTTAAAAATAAGTTTACCGTATTATCGCAGGCAGAAACAATAGCTATATGGTGAATATTTATAGTAGTGCAATTACAGTAAAGGTGTACTGCGTTTTATATGTACAAACTTAACTTTTTTCGGAGCTTATTGGGAATATTTTTAATTCACCTTTACATTTAAACATATGACGCTAAAAACGAAATCCCCATACACTTATTTAAAAAATATTTCCATTTCAACACCAATATACATTAAATGTATTTCGTTTTTTCAGCTATAAGAGTAAAACTTACCAGTAAATTAAGCCAGAACATGTCAGGAATTGGCAGACGTACAACTAACACAATAAAAGGCGTTCGAAATGTGAAGTGATTATATTTTGGTGTCGAGTACAGACCATTCAAAGGAAAAAGTCGCAGATCAGATATCTCAAAACTAAACAACTCATATAAATGCAAAATTTCGTGTTAGTGTAATTTTTTTTAAGTAGACTGTGGTTGGTGGTTGGAAAGTACATATTTTTCAGGAATTTTTTTTATAGAAAGAGATTGGCGGTGGGTGGAGATATGCTCTCTACTGAGTGATCTTATTATTATTATTATTTTATTATTATTATTATGAATCCTCTAAACAAAAATATTAGCATGCTTTCTGGTCAGTTTTGAAACGTATTAATTCAGTTGGCTTTTTGTCTTTCAATTAAAGGAAAACGCTGAAAGCAAAAACAATGCAGCGTTTGATTTTGCATTAGTGGTATACAGAAATAAATTGGAAAAGGTGAGTTTTATTCGATTTTTATCAAAGAAAACACTGTATGGAAACAAACAACATGTAACTTTGGTTGCAATAGTAGACAATATTTTGCTTGTATATGTATAGCACATCATTGATTTTATTTAAAACCCTTTTAATTGTTAATAGTATGATTTTTTCGCAGTCATTGTTGTTAATATTATGCCAAAAATATGTTGTGTTGCCCTTAAATGGGGGAAAAAAAATTTAGATCATCAGTCAGTCTATCGGTCGGATTTTTTTTTTCTAATAATACCTGAAATAGGATATGCAGTCCCCGTTATGAAGACCCTAGGCCTAAGGGCTCGTAACATGCTTGGCCTAAAACCGTAAACGGAGCCTAAGTCTAGCTATGTACTGGCTTTAAAGCGATGGCAAGACCTAGACACTGCTTTATCTATTGTCTGTATACCGTAAGGTAATGAATATGCCTACTATTTTTGATTCAAGCAACCACTAGTTGTACAGTAGTAAAGAATAGGCTAGGCCTAGATCTGGTCGTGACATGACAGCTCAGGGCGATAGATCCGATGTTGCGTGCATATATGTCTCGGATAGAATTTATATTCTAAATGTTAATTTTGGCAGTAGTATTTCTCGAATTTGTACTTAAACAAAATTTCAAAAAAAAAAAAAATAATTGCTGACTCGATTTTTTGGAAAATTTCGGTCGGTCGCGGAGGGCAACACAACTTTTTTGGGGGCATTATTGCGTTACCTATTGCATAATATTTCACATATGACTCTGCAAAGGTCTAATTATGTTCTTAAAAAGTATAATATCCTTAAAGTTAAAACTATAAGATAAAAATAATTGATTATTTTTGGTGTAAACCGATATACTATTTTTGCCTTTTTCAGGATTATTTAAATATTGGATTTGAGGATCTGCATATGCGCGCAAAAAGAGATGCAACGATCAAGTATTTTGAAAATGCAGAAGTAGGGTTCCCGTCATTTACGACAAACCGCGAAGAGTTACGAAAAGCAATTGAATACATCATGGAAGAATATAAAAGTAAAAGAAATTTTTGGAAGGGAGCAAAGCATTTCATAAGGAGGGCAGTATTTGCTATCCCCAATAGATTGTTAAAATCCATTGCCCTTTAGTTACCATTTGTTTGTATCATGCGTGAAGGTTTAGTCTATAAGCACATACATGCATATTGTTTGTATACATAAATTTCTTCTAATTTGATTTTGTTTAAATGTCATTGTTTTGTTTATAGTCTTACAGACAATTCGTCTTCTAGTATAGATCTTAGTTAATGGTAATGTTTTTCTATATTTATTTATTTAGATATTGAGGTTATAACACAAATTCTATTATAATTCTTATTTACCAATAATTGAAGTTAATGTTGATGATTTGAATCATTCTTATTATACATTATGCAGCACAAAAAATGTATAATGTTCGGTTACTTTCGTCTATTAACTTCCGAAATGGTTAATGGTTAATTATTTCTAGAGAAGACATATATTTCTTAGTTGGGGTTTTTGGAAACCAACATGCCCTGACGAACTTTACTGCTATAAAAGTGTAAGTCCAAATAATTAATTTTATGATGATTGTTACATTATATGATATATAGATCAAATCGAGTCTATACTCTCAGAAGCTATAAGAATTTATATTACGGTTAATGTTACAGCCATTATATTATTGTACTTTTCAATATCCATGCCCTGTGTAATTCAAGGTAAAATAAGCTAATTTAATCTCTCTGATAATCTATGCAAACAACTTTAATTGCGTTGTCCCCTTTTTAAAAGAACTAGTGAAATCAGTGCTATGTCACTTTTTATGTTATATGTGGAAGAAACATGATGGTTATTTAAACTATTACAAATTTATAAACATTCCAACAAACAAATAATCAACTCTATAGGTAAAACCATAGCAACGTATAATACCTGGAAGTTTCACTTGTTGCATCAACAAGGCTTCAATATCAATACAATCATTACCAATTAACGTATAGAATTCATGATCTTGTATATATAGAAATCATTGGTTTTTTTCAATGCTTATATTGTTATTGTAATCGTTGTATATTTACACTGGTGTATAAGTTGAACGGAAATACAGATAATATTATAGATGGTAGTATTGCAATGTAGGCCATGTTTAAAATAGTATTTGCTCTAATGTTAACTATATGTAATGATAGTAACTGGTACTAATTGGTGAATACAGTTTTAGTGGTGTAAAAGCGCATGACTTCAGGTCACAGGTTAAATCATTAAAAATAGCTTGGCTTAAGCATCTTTACAACAAAGACGTCGCCATGTGGAAGTATCTGTCCCTCTAGTACTTGGATAATGTTGGTCCTGTCTCTTATACACATCTAGATGTGTATAAGAGACAGATTTTGTTCCTATTAATTTGTTTTAGGTTTTTGTAGTGGTTGATCTTAAATACTAAAATGTAGTGTAACATTGCTGATTTTATCTAAAAATAATTATAATAATTCTTTAATAACACCTTGGACCTTTCGCATACATGTCGAACGTCATAACCACTTGACCATATATATAAACATATATATAAAGTGTACGTCTTTAATCGGTTGTTTCTGGCAACGTTTCTTTTAGGAAAATTTACGCTTCTTACAGTAGGCCTTGTAGGCATATTAAGACTACGAAAAAAAGTGTCAGATGGTGGAACAGTATTTGAGAGGGCGTGGAGGGCATATGTATAGACAAATAAAGCAGGCGCACCCGCCTAATGGAAAATTGGCTGAGTAAAAACAGTTACACTAAAGTGGTTGAAAGCACTTCATACCTTCTTATTTGACCAGTTAGTACCCCTTACATAATCATCGAACTCCCTCCACAACATCACCCCTCCCAAATACCACATGTCAAATATTCCTAGATACGCCACTGGTGCTGGTCAGACATCAAAATAATTGAGCGACATGATATCAGCTTAATGTTATAGTTAATTTGTTTTCCTAAAATTGTTTTAAGTCTTTTGCATTGCATGAAATTTCTGAGATTTTGATACTTACACTCACATAAGCGCTGTCTCTTATACACATCTAGATGTGTATAAGAGACAGGATATTGAGGTTATAACACAAATTCTATTATAATTCTTATTTACCAATAATTGAAGTTAATGTTGATGATTTGAATCATTCTTATTATAGGCTACATTATGCAGCACAAAAAATGTATAATGTTCGGTTACTTTCGTCTATTAACTTCCGAAATGGTTAATGGTTAATTATTTCCAGAGAAGACATATATTTCTTAGTTGGGGTTTTTGGAAACCAACATGCCCTGACGAACTTTACTGCTATAAAAGTGTAAGTCCAAATAATTAATTTTATGATGATTGTTACATTATATGATATATAGATCAAATCGATTCTATACTCTCAGAAGCTATAAGAATTTATATTACGGTTAATGTTACAGCCATTATATTATTGTACTTTTCAATATCCATGCCCTGTGTAATTCAAGGTAAAATAAGCTAATTTAATCTCTCTGATAATCTATGCAAACAACTTTAATTGCGTTGTCCCCTTTTTAAAAGAACTAGTGAAATCAGTGCTATGTCACTTTTTATGTTATATGTGAAAGAAACATGATGGTTATTTAAACTATTACAAATTTATAAACATTCCAACAAACAAATAATCAACTCTATAGGTAAAACCATAGCAACGTATAATACCTGGAAGTTTCACTTGTTGCATCAACAAGGCTTCAATATCAATACAATAATTACCAATTAACGTATAGAATTCATGATCTTGTATATATAGAAATCATTGGTTTTTTTCAATGCTTATATTGTTATCGTAATCGTTGTATATTTACACTGGTGTATAAGTTGAACGGAAATACAGATAATATTATAGATGGTAGTATTGCAATGTAGGCCATGTTTAAAATAGTATTTGCTCTAATGTTAACTATATGTAATGATAGTAACTGGTAACAAATGATTACATTGTAGGATTTATGAACTTCTATATAGGGCCTAATTTTATATATTTTGTTCCTATTAAAGTGGTTGATCTTAAATACTAAAATGTAGTGTAACATTGCTGATTTTATCTAAAAATAATTATAATAATTCTTTAATAACACCTTGGACCTTTCGCATACATGTCGAGCGTCATAACCACTTGACCATATATATAAACATATATATAAAGTGTACGTCTTTAATCGGTTGTTTCTGGCAACGTTTCTTTTAGGAAAATTTACGCTTCTTACAGTAGGCCTTGTAGGCATATTAAGACTACGAAAAAAAAGTGTCAGATGGTGGAACAGTATTTGAGAGGGCGTGGAGGGCATATGTATAGACAAATAAAGCAGGCGCACCCGCCTAATGGAAAATTGGCTGAGTAAAAACAGTTACACTAAAGTGGTTGAAAGCACTTCATACCTTCTTATTTGACCAGTTAGTACCCCTTACATAATCATCGAACTCCCTTTACAACATCACCCCTCCCAAATACCACATGTCAAATATTCCTAGATACGCCACTAGTGCTGGTCAGACATCAAAATAATTGAGCGACATGATATCAGCTTAATGTTATAGTTAATTTGTTTTCCTAAAATTGTTTTAAGTCTTTTGCATTGCATGAAATTTCTGAGATTTTGATACTTACACTCACATAAGCGTGTGTATATTTCGAAGTTTTGATATTAAATTGCACATGCTGCCTGTGTACCTAAACAGCGAGTACTGTTTAATTCAAATAGTTTGTTATAGTTCAGCAGTTTCAAATACAGTATTTGTGAGGTATGTCATTATGCATAACAAAAAAGCTCAAGGAGACAACTATATCGATAGTATACTCAAGAAACTTACTAGCCTGGAACTTTCAAGCGACGGACGGGTGTGGTAATGACAGATGTGAAACCTGGGTATTTATTGTTAAACTTTGCTTACTCAAGATTCTTGAAAAACACTATTTTTTAGCTGTGATGATCTTGTTTAATAGCTGTTTTGATAGAAGCAACATCTGAATTGACGTAAGTAGACAACCACAATTGGCGTAACTAGGAGTCTGCGGGGCGGGGTGCTTGGGGCGGTGGGAGGTGCGGTGGAACGCCATTTACCGCAAAAATATCTTTCATTTTCAGTCTCTGTTCCTTCTCCCAAAATCTCAAACTGGGAATTTTTGAAGCAAATAAATTATGCTAGAGTATATAGTTTAAACTCACCTCATACTTCATGCCAGTTAGCGCCTCCGCCCCCAGTTTATCATCGAGCTCTTCCACTTCACCTTTACCCCGCCCTCTATCAGCGCCCCTCCCACCCCCACCCCTTCATAACCCTAGATATGCCACTAGACGTAAAGGCTACCGTCAAAGATTGGTATACATTTTAAGTTAGAATATGATAATGCAAACTTACGAAAAGAAGTTGATGAACCATTTGACATAAAGTGGGTACATAGTGGTTTTAAAGTACTTGGTATTTATGTTGGCAATGATCATGCTTTTTATTGTAGCAAAAAACTGGTCTGAAAAAATCAAATCCTTAAAAACCTGCCTTATTTCCTGGCAAAAACGAAAATTGACTTTCTTTGGAAAAGTTACAATTTTTAAAAATTCTTGGACTTACAAAGCTTATATACAATGCAAGTATTATTGAGACGCCTATGGGATAAGAGGACAGAGAAAATAAAAATATTAACGCTAATTGGTGAATACAGTTTTAGTGGTGTAAAAGCGCATGACTTCAGGTCACAGGTTAAATCATTAAAAATAGCTTGGCTTAAGCATCTTTACAACAAAGACGTCGCCATGTGGAAGTATCTGTCCCTCAAGTACTTGGAAAATGTTGGTCCACAGAATCTTATTCTGAATATTTCATGTACTAATTGTCACGTTCTAAAAAAGCTGCCATCCTTTTATAAAGCTTTACTCAATGATTTAGCGAACTTGAAACAAATAATCTCAAAAAACGAAGGGACTGGAAAAAATGTAGGTATTGTTAAACCAAAATTGAATTTGTGCAATATGAATTGTAAACAAATGTTTAATTAATGAAAAATGTGCCAAACAAAGTGGGAAATTATTTTCAAACGTCCATTGAATGGGGGTCTACTTTAACGATTAAGGTAAAATTGATTAAAGAAAACAAATTAGCGCAATTAAATTTTAAGATTTTACATA